GCCCGTGGGGCTCTTTACGATTATTTACTGATGGATAAAATGGATTTAGTCACTTGCAAATAGTAAACAATATTAGCTCCAATTTGTTTCCCATTTTTTTTTTCATTAAAATGAAAAATATAACCATTATCCATCACATTAAGCCACCAAATTTGAATTTCTATCTCTTGTGTGGGATCTATAACGGCTATATTTTTCATTCTCATTTTTATATTAATGTGTACTAAACGGCTCTTAGTTTATTACTAGGGAAAAAAAGTCTAGTTATCTATATACAATACATTCATTTAATAAATTAAAGAAATCTCAATAATGAGTTAAATAATCCACATGATACCAACAAATAAGAAATTGTGGGGTACAAATTAAATTAAGTTTTGTCTTAATATATTTAGTATCCATGTGAGGCATGAATATGCGTCAAATTGTTTGAGATTTGCCAGCTTGTATTGCATTTGTTTTTGTGCAGCGTCGAATTGTCGTTATTCGACTACTTTGGATTTATGCAATAAATAAACAATTTAAATATTAGATAGCAATACTAAAACCAAGGCTAATACATAGGTATTTTTTACTTTGGTAAGTAATGTTTAAGTTACGATGCTAATTAATGATGTCACATTATTAATATTAATTTCTTATAGTGATCTCTTGAGGCTTAAGCTCGAATGTACACTTCATGGAGTAGTTTACTCATTGATGTTGATCTTTATGGTCACGTTAACTCAACTCGATTCTGAAACATTAGGTCGTTTTCGTGTCCAACAAATGCCTATAAGTTGGAATTTTTGTAATTATTTTTGGTCGAACCTTTTGGAGATGACACATATTATTAACTACCTACAAGACCAAGCGCCAAGGTAGCAGTATCTTATCCAAAACATCGAGAATAGAAAAGTTAGTAACTATATATAGTAAATATCTTTGATTGTTTGCTTCGGCCCCTTTTTGATGTAGTTTACAATCAGATTTTTAGTAAATTTTGATTAAAATTGATAAAGCACGTGGATCATATGAAATGTGTATTTATAGTTATTTGTTGACATTAATTCAATTTTTTTAATTACATCAAACATGGACTTCTTGTTCCCTTAATTTCCTACTTTTTTAAACAAAATGATGGAATTAAATTAATATAGCTTGCTCGTAATATTACTTGAAATTGCAAGAAAATGCTTTTGCTCCAATGTTGAACTATTGATGTCAAACTTAGTGTGATAACTCTTAGTTAACGTTAAAGTGAACGATCGTAAAAAGCACAGTCAGCTTGCTCGAATATTGAGTAACTTTAGTTAGTTAAATATTTGTATACTAGCAATATTCATAATTTCAGTACAGCGATTGCATCTGTGATTGAAGATGGCAGCCAGCGAAACCATGATGGCTTTGCTCTCTCCGTGTATTTAGGAAATAAAAAGACTTATCTTAATTATTAAAACATAACACTGCACGATTGTTGTCACTTGTTAGATCCAAAGTCAAAAGAAATATGAATACTATTCATAATTAGTCATCTAAACCAATCATTAATTTTTTATTATTTTTTTTAATATTCAACAAGCTAACTACTAGTCATCAAAGTCCAATTTAAGAAACTTAAGCAACATTGAAGATTTCTTTGGGCACATGTGGGTGTGGGGTTGAGTATTGTGGGGATGAAATTGACCTTGTTTTTTCGAATAATCTTATGCAGCGTTACTGGTATTATAACATTAGTCTAGATGACTGCAAGTAATAAGACATGTAACATGATTCGTTTCTGTACTTTTAAGGTGATTAATTAATTAATGATATTTGCATGTCACCTAAGATGGTGCTTAGCACCAATGACGCTAAGAGTCTATTTGAGCCACATTAAAAGGCTAAGAATGTATTTTGAAATAGTAAATTGATGGAGAATGTGGTTAAAAAATAAGGAAAAATTTTAAGTCTGCGTGTAATATTATTATATTAAAGAATGTGTGATAAAAAAAATAGAGAAAAATATATTTTAAAAATAATGGGATTAAACAAGGGCTAAATAACATTTCCCACGACAACTTGTAGGAAAAGGGAATTGGGGATGATAAAAGTCTGTAATTAATGCTCTAAAATCTGGCATGTAAGGGTATTAACGAAGAATTTACAACATATTAACCACCTCAACTCGAAAATGTTTGATATATCGTATCAGATAGATTTATATAGAGTATGTAGTTTTCGTGGCCAAAACTTTGAATTAAAATATTACAAAAGTACAACTTCTTGAGTAAAAACTCTATTTGTTATACGTCTCTTTGGGAAAACAGATAATTTTTGCCTTTTATATATGCCCATTAAATTCTAAATCTGCTAGTATTACATGCAGATGGGAAGAGAAAATGAAAATAAAAGGAAAACTATCCACAAAAATCAATAAACCCAACAGAGGAGGGGGAAAAAAAAGGTACAGTGCATTTAAAAAATTAATCCTCAGAAATGCTCTGCAAATGAGGCTTCCATACTCCAACTCTCCCTTTCTTCCGTTCCCGGCGTGACGAATTTTTCTCTGAATTACTTTCCGGAACAAAATCCGGCTCGCCGTAGCTGCATTTCTTGGGAGACTTCTTGAGGTAGTTGAGGGTTTTCTTCTTCTCTGCAGGCAAAGAAGATGCTGGTATTAAGAAATAAATGCTGCCTCTCTTCAGCTCCGACTCGGGTGATAGTATCAAAATCCGGCGTGGAACACCTTGACAGCTTGGCTTACTCAATACATGGTTTGGGTTGCTCTTAAGAACCTCGCCGGCGGTGATCGGTCTTGTTATTTCTTCTACATAGCCATTTAAGTGTACTATACGGATCAAGTCTAGCGCTCCACAGGGAAGAACACAGGCTAAACAACATCTCAAACTGTTTCCCATCTCTCTCTCTCTCTCTCTCTCTCTCGCTGTTCTCTATCTGTGCGGAGTTTGAAAGGGATTATGAAGTGCTGCTTATATAGGAGGAACAGCCTTACTCATTATGGATAATTAAACTATTTTGTATTGTACTTAAAAGAGTAATGTGCACAAAAATTGCACAATAGATCCTCAGTCTTTGGCATTTAGTTCCCAACTTTTAAAATAGAACATTTTGATAATCAACTTTTTATTATTTTTAGGAGGTGGGAACAAGGGGTTTCAAGATGGGGTTAGGGCGGGTTGCTAAGACAGAGTAGCGGTGGGGTT